TTTTTGTGTGTTGACCTTGTATCCAGCTACTTTACTGAGTTTGGTTATTACGTCTAGAACACTTTTGTTGGAGTTCTTGGAGTCTTCTATATAGAGTATCATGTCATCTGCAAATAATGAAAATTTGACTTCTTCATTTCTTATCTTTATTCCTTTTATTTCTTTCTCTTGTCTAAATCCTGTGGCTAATGTTTCCATGACTATATTGAACAAGAGTGGTGACAGTGGACATCCTTGTCTTGTTCTTGATTTTAGTGTGAAGGATTTCAGTTTTTGACCATTTAGTATGACATTGGCTGTTGGTTTTTCATAGATGGCTTTATTCAGATTGAAGTAGAGACTATCTATTCCAAATTTGTAGGATTTTTTTAATCATAAATGCATGTTGGATGTTGTCAAATGCTTTTTCTGCATATATTGAGATGATCATATGGTTTTTGTCATTGGCTGTATTGATATAGTGTATTACATCGATTGATTTGTGTATGTTGAACCATCCCCTCATCCTTGGGATGAATCTCACTTGGTCAGGGTGTATGATCTTCTTGATGATCTTCTGCATTCTATTTGCCAGTATCATATTAACGATTTTTGCATGTATGTTCATTAGTGAGATTGGACTATAGTTCTCTTTTTCAGTTGGGTCTTTCGATGCTTTGGGGATCAAGGTGATGCTTGCTTCCAGGAATGAATTTGGGAGTATTGCTTCCCTTTCAGTTTTATTGAAGAGTTTAAACAGAAGTAGCAGTAGTTCCTCTCTAAATTTCTTGTAGAATTAGGCAGTGAAGCCATCAGGACCAGGGCTTTTCTTAGTTGGTAAGTTTTTAATTACATTTTCAATTTCATTGGTTGATATTGGGTTGTTTAGAATTTTTAGGTCATCTTCATTCAACTTTGGTAATTTGTAGTTATCTAGGAATCTGTCCATTTCTTCTGTTTTCTATCTTATTGGCATATAGGTTCTCCAAGTGGTATTGATGATCATCTGGATTTCTGCTGGGTCCGTTGTAATTTCATCCTTTTCATTCCTAATTGCATGGATTTGGGCCTTTTCTTTCCTTTTTCTGATAAGTTCGGCTAAGGTTTGTCAATTTTGTTTATTCTTTTGAAGAACCAACTCTTGGCTTCATTTTTGTGACATTCTCTTATTCTCCATTGCATTGATTTCACCTCTGATCTTTATAATTTCCTCCCTTGTATGAGCTTTG